GTCCCCTTCTTAGTTCAAGTTATATCGCTCGGGAGGGAGGCCGAGTTGGGCCTTAATGTCCCCCCTAGGTTCTGAGGGAGGCCAAGTTGGACCTTAATGTCCCTCTTAGAGTGTGCACATGCTTTACCGGTATAGCCGCCGGGAGCTAGCAGTCAGTTTCATTCAGTTCAGTTACATATATACTCAAGTAATGATATTATTAATACAGATGTTGTTCATTTAATGTCGATTTCTGCGGAGCATAGTGGTTTTGCTCACGCCCCCACTAACTTTCTTTTTAGGTGATGTACTCTAGCGTGGCGCATGAGCACTCGTGGTGGTCGTGGTCAAGAGCAGTGGACATTTTGACACACATTTCATGACATGTATTATGAACACGTAGTTTTACTTATGCGTGTGTTAATTGTGCTTTAGCTTCCGCTTATTATCAGACTCCGTATGAGATTATGAGATTTCAGACTTATGCGTGTGTAATACCTTTATCTCCATGATACCTTTATTAGATGGATTTGATTAGGTGGCATGTATTATTATTGATTGTCTCGTGAGAAAGAGATGATAATAGTAAAGAGTTTGAGTAGCACCCCGCGAGCCAGTTATAGTATTTTCAAAAATAAAAGTTAGCGATTTGCAAAAATAAAAAGCAAAATTTTAACTCAGATTTTCACAAGTCTAGTTATAGAAGGCGAGGTGTTACACTTTTTACCCTAAACATTCATCGTCGAGCTCAACGGCTTGCAAACATTCAAAATAGACCTTTTGCCCTAAAGAGCTTGAAAATTTTTAAAACAAGTTGTTTGCCTTAAACATTCATCGCCGAGCTCAACGAGCTTGCGATATTTGCATGCATCAAACAAATCAAATAATCAATCAAGTTCATAGAACATCAAGTATAATCCTAATTATTCAGTTCTAGAAAAAGAAAATAATGTAGATACTCATATAATACTTCTAAATCACATGCTTAGCATAATACTTCTTCAGGTGTAATATATTCTATGGTAGGGGCAATAGTCACCCCTCCATGTCACTCAACTCGTATGCTCCTCCCGTCAAAACTCTTTCAACCTTGTAGGAGCCTTCCTAATTGGGCTCCCTTTCCAACATGTTTTAGTGAATCTACTTGTCGCCAAACCAAGTCTCCTACTTGAAACCGTTGAGATCGTATCGTCCTATCGTGAGATGTACTCATACACTATTTATACATCGTTGTTATTATCCTTGCTTGATCACGTAGCTCGTCAAGCAAATCGAGAGCTTCATGTCGAAGTTCTGCATTCTTAGATTCTTCATAAGTATTAATCCTTCCCAAGCCGAGACTTACCTCCACCGGGACGACGTCTTCCATGCCATAGATCAGGCTGAACAGGTGTTTCCCCTGTTGAATCCCTTGGCATTGTCTGATACGACCAATGAACAGAATCTAGCTCATCGACCCAAGCTCTCTATCCAGCCTAGCTTTCAACCCATTTTTAATCGACCTGTTTGCCACCTCAGCTTGCCCATTGGCTTGCGGATGGGCTACTGTAGCAAACTGCTGGTTGATCCCCATATCCTCACACCAGCCCATCACACGCCGTCCTCTAAACTGGGCTCCGTTGTTAGATATGGGTACTCGCGGAATGCCAAACCTACAACAAATGTTGGCAAACAAAAATTTTATTATCTTCTCCTAAGTGATTTTAGCCAAAGGCTCTGCCTCAATCCACTTCGTAAAATAGTCGACTGCGAACACCAAAAATTTGCGTGACCCATTGCCTGGGGCAAGGGTCCTACTATGTCAATGCCCCATTGAGTGAAGAGCAATGGTAAAATTACAGGCACCATGTTCTCTGTGGGCCGATGCATGATTGGACCGTGTTGCTGACATTTTAGACATTTCTGCACGAGTTCTTGTGCCATCGCCCTCACTGTAGGCCAAAAATACCCTGCGCGCAACACTTTTCCCGCTAGCGACCTGACCTTCATATGGTTGCCGCAACATCCTTAATGAACCTCGCTTAACACATATTCTCTCTCATTCTCTGGAGAACACCGTAGGTGTGGTCCTACATACGACCGCTTGTATAACACCCCACTAAGCAAATAAAACCTTAGTGCCCGCCTAGCGACCGGGTCGTTTCTAATATTTTTTCCCTCCATTGGTGTTTGCAACCATTCAATCAAGGGTGACCTCCAATCCTCCCATTCTTCAACTTCTAAAATTTGATCTAAAGTACTTTCCGTAGCTTCCATCAAAGTGATCGATTGCGATTTACAGTCCACCAATATCATCGCCATCTTTGATAGAAGATCAGCTCGACCATTTTCTGCTTATGGTATTCGTATGAGCTCCCAAACCATGAACCCTTTGAGCAGCGACCATACCTCAGCCAAATATTTCCTCATATGCTCTTCCTTAGCCTCGTATTACCATTTAACTTGTTCCACCACCAGCTGCGAGTCAGCATGGAAAAGTACCCGACTAGCTCCCTACTTGAGAACAAGTTGTATCCCTTGCAACAGAGCTTCGTACTCTGCTTCATTGTTCTATACTCGTAAAGTTAATTTCACCGCAAATTCCAGGTGGTCCTGCTCGGGTGTGACAACTAGAATGCCAAGTGCGGCGCCTCCTGTTGTATTTATTTTTACTGGAGTTAAATCAAAAGATTCTATCCCCGAGTCGTATCTCAAAGAAAGCCAGCCAGATTATTTGTACGAATATTCAATCACACGAAAAGAGAAAACAAATATTTTTACCGGAGTTAAATCAAAAGATTCTATCCCCGAGTCGTATCTCAAGGAAGGTCAACCGGATTATTTGTATGAATATTCAATAACACGAAAAGAGAAACAAATCCTAAACACTCTAAATCAATAATTTGGGTTTTCAATTATCAACTGATGGTTCTCAAACTAGGCAAGACAAAATTCAAATTGCAAACAAATTCACTTAATGATAAAAGAGCTATGAAGTCAGGGATAATCGTTTTCGGTTCTAACACAATTACCGGGCAATCAGTTGCTCGGTTAAAGGACTTGAATCGTTTACTCTCCCAGAGGCTCACTCTCATTAACTCTTCGTAACAAGAGAGTGAATGTAAACGATCAACTATCAAATCCAATAACACATAGACAATTCAATAACGAACAAGTCTAATCTAAACGAGCCTAAATCGACCGACTTCTCCCCTTTTGGTTCTAGAAGTCGATTAACTAGGTTAGAATGGTGATCAATCAACTAATCCTATAGTTCATACAACTCGCACAGGTTGAGAAATTAACAAACACGTAATCGAAAATGAATCGAAACAATCATCCTTTGTCCCTCGCTTACGAATTAGCCACTCATTGCAATTTCAACACAAAAATTCACATCAACCAAAGCAATCATCATCATAACAAAACGAGTAAAAGTGCTTACGATTAATAGAAAATCCAATGTCGAAAAACAACGAGCAATCCTAAATCCGAAAGAGTAATCTTGAGGTTTTCACTTTCCAAGATAGAATCTAAGAGAAACTAAAGAGAAAATTATGTTTGCTAGGGAAAAATTCGAATACAAAGTCTGAGACTTTGTAAAAGCGCCCTAGGCTCGATCCTTTTTGTTCCCCAACTCGAAATTCCTTAAAAATTGCGATTGATTCAAATCAAGGGTTAGCGGCGCTAACCCCGTAGCGCCGCTAAGGGTGAAAAAGTCCGCTGCTCTGGGGTCGTTAAGGAAGTGTAGCGCTGCTAGCTAAGCCGACCCCCAACTTCATAAGCCATACAAAATATTTCTATCAGTGAGAGTTCATCAGGGTCACAGTAGTCTATGTAACTTACCCTCATGTGCTCACCAGTGTAGCATGTCTCACCAAGTTCCACAAATCGTCCACCATAATGAAATGAGATGGTAAAAAGTTGTGAACTTGGACTTGAAGCGGACAAGAATATTACACAAATCAATATCCTGGTCCCTTCACATAAAAATTAAATAAAAAAGTAAACTAATTTATAAATTTCGAAAAAAGAACCACATTTCAGACAACATTCACATGTTCATATTTGAATAATCAACTAATTGTCACCACATTCAAAAGAGTTGTCGCCACATTCAAAACGAGACCACATAATCAAAAAAACATGTTCACAGTTTAAAAAATTGGCCAAATTCAACAGAAAAACAATAAAAAATTTAAGAATTAAGGTTACAAAAGTACAAACCGTAATTTGGCAGAGTTTTCCTGGTGGTATGTTCTCATCACTGATTCGCTTTTTCCAGACCATCACAACAAGTGCAATCTGCAATCACTTTTGGGAAGTGTTTTTTGCAGAGAATTTTTGCAGAAAATATTGCAGAGAAATTTGAATCATAAAAATTGAATTTGTGAATTCAGTTAGAATATTGTGATATTTGGGGGAGTCTGACGGTCACTTATATAAAATGGCATATTTACCCTCAAATTTCGCACGCTCGCTTTTTCGGTGGAAAACGAGCCGCTGATGGCCGGAGGTTGCGATACATGCAAAGTCGTGTATTAAAGGTTGCAATTTAGTAATACCTCATATTTTTAATATATGTCGTTTTGAGAAGTTGCACACTAATTAATAATATTTTTTTGTTAATAATAACCTATTTAATGAGGATAGACTGAATGTTTTGAGAAAAAAATGAAGAGTGAATATGAAAAAACGTAATAAATTTATTGGCTAAATGAGGGTAATAATGGAAAAATATGTACAAAAGATCCAAATCGACTTTTATTTATCAAATAGTTGATAAAGCTAGAATAGCATTTAAAAATAATAGGAGAAAGTACAAAATATTCTTTAAGTTAAGTTGCAAAAGCCAAATTCTTTAACTATAAAATTATTTACCCTTTTAAAAATAATCTAACTAGTTATGCTATAAGATATATGGAAATGTCTACCCCAACTCCGATAACATCAGTCCGATTGTCCAAACTCTAAAAACCCCAAACAAAAGTGATATTCTTGGCGGAAAGCAATCGGCAATTTCTGCCAAGAGAAGAAGAGAGATGTTGTTTCAGGTGGGGGGTCAAGGTACGCGGCCGACATTCTTCGAGATGGCCGCCGCTCAGCAGCTGCCGTCGAGCCTACGCGCCGCCCTTGCTTACTCCCTCGGTGTATGCATAGCTTCTGTTGCTAGCTTTTATTTCTTTCAATTTATCATCCACTCTTCTTTTCCAATGGTGAATGGTTTGTTCCTTAGACTAAAGGGTACTATTTTTTTTTCCTCGGACGTAGGAGAACTATCTTAGAGTAGAAAATTATCACACGAAGTAGGAACCTCTATCTAATCCATAACAGATCGGATGTAGTAGGTGTTTCCCATTGTGATTATTGAGATGTTTTAATTGAATTTTAAGCTACGATCATGCTTTTTCTGTGTTACTTCCATCAATTATATTTTTACTCTGGTACTAAATTTTAAATCTGTCAAGTGAGACATTTTCTGGAATAAAAATTGATGAACAATCACGAGCCTTTACCAGTTAAAGCAGCATAGTGCAAAATGAGTCCGGAATTTCGAAGATAAGCTTTCAATCATTTTCTGGGCATGTTCATTTTGTATTTGTTTTTTTTGATGATATCTTAAATATTTGTATACATGAGTAGTTCCTTATATGGTGTAATAGTTAAAAAAGTCGAATCATATGCGTCCAGTAAATTACATATTTCGGGCAAGTCAATCATAATCACAATCACAACATACCGAGTATATTCCCAACAGGTTGGGGTCTGGGGTGTCAGTTGTACGCAGACCTTACCCTTGTAATTATACAAGGAGACTGTTTCCGTAGCGACCCAAGGTGCATTACGGCGTTTGATATATTTTTTTTCTAGAATCTTCACTAATAGAAGAAGCACTAGAAATTAATTGAGCCATTTTGATCTAGTCCATTATTAGCACTATGCCAGGAGAATTGTCAACAATGACTCTTCCAGCATCATTTGCAATGGACAAATATTTCGGGCAAGTAAGCTTGGAAATTACTGAAATCCGCTCGAGTAGGTGCTTTGCTTTAGCCCAGCTCTAATCGATTTCGGCAGACTAGGATACGCGGAAGGAAGAAAAAGGCTTTTCAGCCTGACCCGATGAAGAGCTGCTTAACTCTTAGGTATTGGATGAGCTCAAGCTTGATCCATTTGGTGCATTGAAGGAAAGAGAGAGCTTGAATGAAGACATCTTCATCTCTTAAGATCTTTCTATCACTAAAGGGCTAAGTACAAAGACTAGAATATATGGCTCTGAGATTAAGACTTTAAGTAGCTTTTTTGGACCCCGGTTTGACTCCAACATGCTTAACACATGCAATTCTACACTTAATGGACGCAGAAAGCAAGAAGCCGATGGCCAATAGCAGGCGGGGAAATGATCTACCGGGGTAATGCTCTGCTTTCAGTGGAAACCAGTGTCCGTCGGGCCGACGACAACCCGCGGCAATCATACCTGGACTAACTCCTTCGGATCCTCATTTTTTGGCGCCAAAAACCTCTTAGTTGATGTTTCACCGCTTTCTCAGAGTTTTTCACAAAGAAAGGGAAAAAGAATCAATTCTTACCTCGGCACTTAACAACTAGCTAATGAACCTGCGATCACTCAAAGTCAAAGCTTCAAATAAGAAAACTGAACTTCGAACTACTTTCGCCCCCTTCTGTAGTTTAGCCTAGCCGATCTTTCTGCGCGCGCGTTTGTTTAAAGAACTTAACCGAAGGGATAAGGAAGATGAATACTATGAAACCTTTGCTTTTGCTAAAGATGGCACTGAGTCAGTTCAGAGCTTATTCGAAAGAGTAACAAGGCATTCGATAGCACTTGCCCAAGAGACCTGCTATGCGGAAAGACCTGGACTTGTCCTGCTTACTTCTATGGTAGCGCCTTCTTCTATCAAGGGTGCTTTTAATCTCTTACCTGCTCTCCTAAGAAGTGAGGTATGAAGTACGTAACTTTCTTTGCCCGGTTGCTTGTGGCAAGGGCTCCCGGTCGGTGGTTGAGCGACTTGAGCCACCGATTGTACGCTCAATAGCTGTATTTGCTTTCACGGATAAAATCCCTTAGCTGCAGAATGATGAGACGTCATTTTAGTATTTTGAATGTCTTTGCTCCGCGTCACGTTTCTATCACATTTCACGCCATCGAGATGAGTCCCATTTGCATCGAAATCATCTTACTAGCTAGCCCGAGACCTGGCCCTAGCGGCCGTGAGCGTCCGTAGACAAAATCCCTGCATTCTGCGCTCTCACTGGATTGGACGGTGCTTGTCAACTTACTGGGAGATCTATGAGTATAGTTTTTCTTAACCACAAGCTCAATTGTCGTGGTTTGTATAATTTACATTTATACCTCTGCATTAAATGACAAAAAGCATTATGTCTATCCATAAGTTTAACCGTATAATGGACATACAAATTCTTCAAATACCATATACATATCACGAAACATACGTACATTGTGCTGGTTAAGAATTCATAAGCAAAATTATAATAAATTGTTCTAGTCTAATTACAGTAATATATTGGGCTTCAATCAAAGTTCCCCTCTTAAAAATAATAAACACAAGCTAGTTATTGTATTCTTTATATTTATGAAGTTTCTTGTCACTTGAACATAACTTCCTAACATTATTGTTTCACATGTCCTTAGGCTTTTGTTAATTTTCGATCTCATTTTTCTTTCCCTAATCTCTTTTTCAAATTATATGATAACACTTGATATTAACATAAAAACCATGTAAAATATGCTATTGCATGTCAGTTGGCCTAGATTTGATCGTTACTCCATGTTCAGTAATTAAATGGTTTATGTTAGATTTATAGATTCGAGGGAAGGGGTGAAGTCATAGAGGTGAAGCATACCTTAAGAGGGAGAGCCAGTTGCAACCTTAGTGAGGTTTCACCTGGTAATGAAGGAGTAACCCACTAGGCTTCTAAATTAGGCTCATTTTTCCTATATAGTCACGTGGGACAATTTACAAGTCATATCCCAATACGCTTCCTAACTTGTGGGTCTTTCTTTAACCATTCCAAATTAGACTCGATTAACAGACAATCATCATAGACAATCATCACAGTTCCTTGATCAATACCATGTTAGATTTATAGATTTTGGGGGAAGGGGTGTGGTTTCAAATGGGTGAAGCACGCCTTAAGAGGGCGAGCCCATTTATGAGCATAGGTGAGTTTCCATCCTAAACCCAATTGGTAATGGGAGTAATCCACTAGGGTTATAAGGCTCATTTCTATGAAACCAACTATTATTGTGAAAGAAACCCCATGGACAAGAACTTTTTCAAAGCCGGCATGTACTTGAACATTTTTGTAAGTTGTATTTTTTTTTATCAAGCATTAACATCCTGCTTTTGGATTTCCCTTTTCTTCGACAGTTTAGTTAAAAAAGGCACTGCTTATTGCATTCTCCATCTCCAGAATATAGTTCCTTGGCATATTGTGCTCACCTGAATTTTCTAGTTGCCTTCTTGTTTTAAAAGTCCAGTAAATGTTTAGGTGTGGTAATTTTGAGAAAAGTCTATCAAAATTATGTTTCTTGCTTGCAGGCACTAGCATATACTGTATGCATAAAAAGCATATATTTAATGGATTTTGTTTTAATCTTTCCTTTCGTTTAATGAATTCGTTTATAGGAAAATGGTTGGATGTGATGTCGAAAAATGTGCTGAATATAAATTCTTGATAGCAATGGCTAGCTTATTTATCATGGTGTATTCGCATTAATAATGGATATCTGAACTGCACTCAGTACCTTTACAGACTAGAAATTTGTTTGTCATTTAAAGTTTAGTTTCAGCCTCTTGTCTGCAGGTATTTGCTTTGCGAAGACCCTTCATTCACAGAGTCTTGGATTATGAAGATGAATTTTTTGCTTTGCTTATGCTTGTCCTTGAAACTCACAGTTTGCGTACAACAGGTTGGGAGTCATGTCTCATGTATGCTTTTAAATAATTGAAGTTCTACTTCCTTTCGTATGCAGTACTTGAAATGAAACAGTTTTTTCTTTCCTTTTTTACTCGAGGGATTATTTTTTCAAATAAATAATCTCTTTGTCTTCTGCTTCTGATAGGGTATCACATTCTCTCTTTTGGATCCTCTCTATCTATTGAATTAAATGTTGCATGGTACTGATGACACGATTTGCTAACCTTTCTCTTGTATTTTCTCAGATGCTTCTTTTGCGGAATCTTTATATGGCTTGCGGCGTAGAGGAGTTAATATGAAACTTAGAAAGACCAATTTGCTTGCGGATTCTGGTGACAAACATTACACCAGTTTACGTAAGCGCCAGAAAGTTCTCTCTGTTGCATTTTTGGTGAGCAATTTCTTAATCAATGGTTCAATTACAAAATTGGAGTAGTGAATGAATATATATGTTCAGAAATATTCGCTGCTGCATTGCTGTGCCAATTCTCTTCGTCCATATGTTTTCAACAACATGTATCAGCTGTTATAAAATTATGCCTTCTTTGAGTTATGTGTGACCTTGATAAGATTCAGGTAAGGGACAATTATATTGAGTGTTTGCAATTTAGGAAATTAGGGAAGATTGATTAGAAGCTGTATTACAATTCTTTGTGTAGTCATATAGGTTAATGTTAAAAAAATTTAGATGTTTCATTCAGAAGCCTACTTTATGGGCTATCAACATGAAAATCTCTCTTTAAAATGTACCACCATTGGTAAAAGCTGCAATCATACTTGCTATGGTTCAGGAAATATGCAATAAGATGGAAACAGAGAGACAAATATCCTTTCAACATAGCTTTAATTTTTGTTTCATTGAGCATCTTCTCTTCCTTTGTGAAGGCATGGAACTGTCTCCTTCCTCATGATTTGTGACTATTTCATATATATTAATCAATCGAATTAAGCATCGAAATCTGATTGGTCTTACTAGCTGTACTTTGACTGTATCAGTTGCAAACATATGCCTTCTCCTTCGATTCTTTCTTTCCAGTTTCGATGTATGTTATATTTGTTAAGTATATCAAGGTCCAGGCTTATAAGGCCCATGAACAACTCTATATATAATCTTTTCATATCAAAGGAACTTATCAACTCAATAAACCTTAGCTTTGTAACATGGTATCAGAGCAACAGAAATGGGGTCCTATTTTCTTTTCCTTCAAGTCTCACCTCTCACACCAGTCATCTCGTCGCCTCAATATTCATTCTCCGTAAAAAAGTGGCCGGAAAATACCGCGTGTGAGTCACACGCGCAGGAAAAAGGTGCTGGTCATCTCACGCGCCGGCATGTGACTCGCTTCCAGGGAACTTCCGTGGGATCGAAATTTCGAGACGTTGTTGCCAGTACTCAGTTTTCTGATTTGTAATTTTTTTGGTGTCCGTTTTGGCGCTTTTTAGACCACCCACTTGTTGAGGTTAGGGCTTGTTTATTCTAATCGATCTCGACACTATTCAGTTCTTGTTTTGAGTCTTCACTCGTCTGTCTTGTGATCTTACGCTGCCCGTCGCAACCACTTCGCTCGTATACATCATTGTTCGCATATTGTGTGTCCATCGCGAAGGTATTTTTTCATCCATTGTCGAGGCAACTCAATGCCATTGTTATCAATATCACTCTCGATGGAGTGGGTTTTTTCTGTCATCAACGCACATATTATTCGTTCAATGACATGAATTTGCTGCATAAGTGTGCAAGAGTGCACCACTATCCTGAACGTAGCGTTATTGCAAATAGGACCACATCGTCTTAGCTAGTCGAAAAGTGGAAAGGCTCATTATCATGGATTACTCGACTCTATTGACGATGGCAGCCATCACTTTTTCGTTATTAATTTGCCATATCCTGATGTCAGCAATTCAATCAAGTTAGTATTCTCTTAGTTATGTAGCATTGATATTGTCAACCTTCTGCCATCATCGGGGATAGACCATAACTCCTCAATACAATTACTCGGCTTTGATCGATGGGACCATTGATTTCCATGGTACCTCCATGCACGGAAGACGAGTGTTCAACAAATAAATTTATTAAGGAAATTTTTATATACCACTTTGCCATGGGAATTAGAGCAGAATTTAAGTCTATTAGTTGCTTCATAACTCTTTTATACTAACCATGTCACAAGCATTTCCTAATTAATTCCTCAAGAGACTCGTTTTCGTTCTATGTCACTTGCTCCTTCATCAATATCTCATGGTGTATTGGCATCTTCTCATCGGGCATCCTCTCAACGGGTTAGTGCACCAAAAGGTTGTTCATCAGACTCTTGTCAGGTGAAGACAGGTCATAGTGCAGAAAATTATTTTTTCAGAAATATGGGATGAGTACCGTGCACGTCATGGTGCTCGGACTCGTGGTATGACTCTTGTTACAAAAGGGTCTAAATTTGTTGTTGTTGTTGTTGCTGCCTCAATCTTGAGTTCTCGATTCAAGGGCATCATTCCATTTGACGTCTGATCAGTTCGAGTTGGTTGCCTGCAAATCAGTCTACTTATATCAAGTATCCAGACAGCTGATGGCACATCTTGTCATATTACTCATGAGGGTTCTATGCAATTCACGTTTATTCATACAGTTGATGGCACATCTTGTCATATTACTCATGAGGGTTCTATGCAACTCACGTTTATTCATACAGTTGATGGCACATCTTGTCACAACTTATCCATGTATCTTCTTTCAGTTGGTTAGGTCACTCAAGTCACTGATCAAAACTCTTTTATTAGATTTGATGACTCATCTTGTTTTATTGAGGATCGTCGAAGCGGGACAGTGGGACTGGCCATCGACGTAGTGGTTCTTCGAGTCTCTACATTATATAGACTTTGCATCTTCCCTCTTCAGCAAGTTTTATCGCTCGTGTGTCATACGCTGCCTTGTCTTCCGCCTCATCCTTCACCAAATGGCATCAACATCTTTGTCATATGAGTGGGCCCCGTTTGTCTTCTTTGATTAATAATAGTTGTTTAGGTTGTACTTCTATTGAGTCTAATTTCCAGTGTTATTATGGCAGATAGCGTTACATGGCATTTTGCTAAAATTCTGCCATTGGCGGCTGCCGTGGAGGTCTATGGCGCCGCCATGACCGCCATCACTCACAAATTTTGGCGGATTGTCAGAAATCCGCCATGCCATACTCCATGGCGCCGCCATGGCTGTCATTTGGTAACACTGCATCATCGTCTTTGTCATTTGAGTGGACCTCGTTTGTCTTCTTTGATTAATAATAGTTGTTTAGGTTGTACTTCTATTGAGTCTAATTTCCAGTGTTATTAATGGCGAATGGCGTTACATGGCGTTTTGCCAAAATTCTGCCATTGGCGGCCGCCGTGGCGGTCTATGGCGCCGCCATGACCGCCATCACTCACAAATTTTGGCGGATTGTCAGAAATCCGCCATGCCATACCCCATGGCGCCGCCATGGCTGCCATTTGATAACACTGCTAATTTGCATTGTAAGGGTTGTAAACTCGGGAGACAGTTGCAACTCTCATATTCTACTAGTATTTCTCATTTCGCTAGGCCTTTTGATCTTATTCACTCTGATGTATGGTATTTGTCCCCTTTTACCGCAAAAAGTGGAAATATATATATATATATATATATATATTTTTGTGTTGATGATCATTCTCGATATACTTAGTTTTATTCTATGAAACAATGTTCTCAGTTGTGTTCCATTTGTAAGGATTTTGATTGCATGGTCATACTTAATTTTCTGATCCCATTCGAGTTTTTCGTTTTGATTTTGGTTATGTTTAATTATCTGACAATTTTCTTAGTTTTGAGTTACCTCTGAGGGTACTCTTGCCCAACTTTCCTGGGTGTTGCGGAAAGAAAACACCGCCATCTTAGTCTCTGAGACTGCTCGGACCCTTCCCCTTTTCATTTTTCGGGGAGAAGTTGAGTCTACAGTTGTTTTACTTATTAACCGACAACCATCATCCAAATTGACTCGTAAGTGTCGTGGTGAGGTTCTTTTTGGTCATCCCCCTAGTTATGATCAGCTTCGTGTTTTTGGATGTACATGCTATGTGTTACATGCTCCTCGTGAGCGCACTAAACTGACTCCTTAGTCGGTTGAGTGCTTCCTTGTTGAGCATAAGGTTATCGTGGTTACCATACTTCTGCTCGTTTCATGCGTATATCTCGTGATGTAACCTTTGTCGAGGATCGTCCTTTCTTTTAAATTCTTTAACACACCTCACATCTTCTTCTCCTTCGTATGTCTTCCTTCTATTTCTTTTTCTCGTCTTCCTTTTCTTGATAATGTCCCCACCTCTCACGATGAGCCTCCACCACCCATTTCTGATGTGCCTCCCTCATATAGACCACCTATCACACAGGTTTATACTCGTCGTCCACTAGGTCATACAATGCTTCCGCCTCATTCTCCTATCTCTGTGTCGGTTGTTGCTCCTCGATTTTGTTGTTGATTATGATGTGTCACGCGATATTCATGAAGTCTTGTGTTCGTCACAGATATAATTTGCGTGGTCGTGCTACTATTGAGTCTCCTGACCGGTTGGGTTTTCCACGTGCGAGTGCTATTGTTGATGAGCTATCCACTTATTAGGAACCTTCGCGTATTCCAGAATGGCCACTTGCTATACCTAAGGAACTTGCTGCACTTGATCGTACCGACACTTGGGATTTAGTTCCATTATGGTCACATGCGGTACCTATCACGTGTAAGTGGGTTTTTTAGATTAAGAGGAAGTCAGATGGTTCCATTGAAAGATATAAAGCTCGCCTTGTTCCTAGAGGCTTTCAACACACTCAGGGACGAGACTATGATGAGACTTTTGCTTCTGTTGTTGCACACATGACCACTTTAGTACTCTAATTGCGGTGGATGCTATTCGTTCTTCGACCATATCTCAGATGGATGTGAAGAATGCTTTTCTTCATGGTGATCTGCATTTATATGCAGCCACCACCGGGTGTTGATGCCCCGTCCGGACACGTTTACCATCTTCTTTGCGCCTTATATGGTCGTCCACGTGCTTAGTTTGAGTGTTTGTCACTTGGTTTTTCCCTAGCAATCATGATTTGCTTTGTTAATTCATCTCTATCCATATGGACGTACTCTTCTTGTTGTTTTATATGTTGATGATATGTTGATTACGGGAGATGATGCAGAACATATATCTCATGTAAGAAACAACTTGGGCAGCAATTTCAAATGTCCGTTTTGGGTCTTCTTTGCTACTTCTTGGGCATTGTGGTGTTGCACTCTGACTCGTGCTATTACCTTTCTTAGGCGAAATACATACAAGATCTTCTTGTTCGTTCTGGTATTAGTGATAATCGGAAGCCGCTATACCTATGGATCTTCACTTGCA